GCTCTGCTCCAGGTAGAACCCCGGGGCGCAGCTCTGGCACCGCAGCCCCGTGTAGCCCTCCAGGCAGGGACACTGCCCCGTCGTGCCGTTGCATTCGGCCTCGCTGACGCTCCCCACGGCGCTGCAGTTGCACAGGTCTCCTGGAAAAAGAAAGAAGGGGCTGAAACCGGTGTGCTGGGGGCACGCTGCCGAGCAAGGGTCACTCGTCACTGTCACTGCCCTCCCTTTGCTCACCCCAGGTTGGAAACGTCGTCACTGTAAGGATGCTATTGGCTTTAAAATGGTGAGATGATGGAAAAAAATGTTGGGAGCATCCTGAGGTTTGAATCCCCATGGGTCATGTTTCAAATCTCTCTCCAAAAGAGAGCTGGAAGATGATGGGTATAGCTACTGAAATACATCCATATGTAGGTGTATATGACATCTGTCTGTACGTATACACACACACACACGCGCGTCGTTGTCTGGTCACACACCTCCAGATGCTGACAAGCACTAGCTGCTGTAATAATGGGATAAATAAGTGACACGTGGCAAAATCACCGATTATTTAATTATTTATAAAAAAATCCTCAGTTTCCCACCACTGGAACGCCTCTGATTTACCAACGGCTGCCGTTAGGACACAGGACATTCACAGCACACCCACAGGGTGGACTGGCACCAGCATCTCCCACTCCTGGAGAACGGACTCAGAATCCCCCAACCATGGCTGGGGTCCAATGGCAGCAGCTCCCCTAAAAATCTGCCCTTGGGGGAGCACGGAGCACATGAAAACAGCTTTAAACGCCGGGACAGTGACCTCCTGCGCCCCCACCTTCACCACCTAAACCACCACGGGCCACCTTCAGCCCCACGGCACACAGGGACAGCTCTGGGGACCCACACACGTGTGCCGTGGGGACGCTTCTTGTTTACAGGGGTGATGGAAAGCTCACACCCAGCAGCTGCTTTTTAAGAGAGGAGCAAATCTTTTGATCAAGTGATGAATTCCCAGTCCCCCCACACGTTATTTCTAATCATCCTTTAAAGCACCAAACGCACCAAACAGAAACTTCTCCCAGCAATTTGTTTCTGCCAAGAGCTTTATCTCCATTCCGTTATTGCAAAATATTTAGTGCCTTAATAATTTAACGTCTTTTTCTGCCAAGGGTGAATTATAAACAAGGATTATTTGCAGAAATAGTGCATAAAGCATCAGAGGCTTTACGCAACCACTGGTATTTGTTATTCCCCGAGAAAAGCCAGAATTCGGGGCACTTCACGGAGAGGGGAGAGGCCAAGCCCCCATCCCAAGAAAACTTGACTTAAAGCTCAAACCATGCCAAGAAGACCCAACAGTAATGCTCTATGCCAGCACTACTATTTCAGATTTTTTAATGTTCATACATATCGCACGCTCGTGCCCCAATCCAACAGAAAGGACCTCGGCAGGTGCCTGGGTTGAACCATGCTTAAAACCCAGCAATTGAGTAAAGATGAACTCGGTCATCTGCTGCAATCGGACCGCACTGGAGCCCTCAGGCTGCCTTCGGGAACACAAGCCATCAGATCTCCCACGTCACATCTGTGCAGGCTCCCAGTGTCCATCCTTCCCGGGGAGCTGCCCTCAGCACCAGCAGCCTGCAGCACAACAGGATGGCAGATTATAGAGCAAACACGTTAAATGAAGATGAAAACACGGTTACAGGTCGACTTTTCAAGGAACGCTACAAGTGGGAGGAGGGATCCCCTTCTCCCCAGAATGGGACCGTGGGAACCGCAGGACCTCTCCAACCAACAGCCGGGCTGCAGCACCTGGCTGTTAATTACCTTTCGTCTGCGTTCTTCCACCACGCAAAGAAATACGAGTTCTTTATCTTTGTTACTCTGTCAATACACGCATGGTATCCCCACAGAAGTAATTTAGTACCTGTACACCTGTGAAATTGCACCTAAATTTTCTTCAATCTGAACAAGCAAATGGGACATACACCTCAAGATCTGCAATTACCCACTTCAGCAGCCACTTCCCATAATGAACCAAAGTCCATCTCAAGCATCCAAGCAGAACCTCATTGATTTGGGCCCTTGGGCTTCTCCCAGCCAACGGGAGCCACGAAAACTTGTTGAGCAAAAGCACTTCGGAGTTTGTCAAACATGCATCAGAACAAATGCACCTTTCAAAGCTCATTACGTGCAGTGCCACTGGACCTGCTAGGCTTCATTAAGCAAAGGAAGCAAGCGCTGTATCAGCTCTAAGGGCAGGTCCAGCACGGTGGTGACGATCGCTCTCGTGCCGCAAGAGCATCGCAGCCAGAGCCACCGCCGGGCACATGCCGCGTCCATCCCGATGCTCCAGCAGCGCCAGTCGAGGGTGGAACTTCTTCATCTGAAAAGCGATGGGTGCTACAAGTCAAATTCCCATTCAAAACACTGCCATCGGGCGTGGGGTGGGTAAGAGCTCCTCCACACTGATGGGGACCATCCACGAGCACTGTCCTCTCCATCCAAACCAGCACTGGTGGTCATGGTGCACGAGGAGCTGCCAGAGCCCAAAAGGACACACAGGCACAGCCGATACCTGGGCACATCGCTGTGAAAATTAAATAACCTCACGCACCGCAAGAGCCTGAGAGGCCCTTAGCAAGATAGGGCTGGAGGAGGTTTGTGAACTGGATTGATGAACGGGGTTTTGTGGCCACGTTTGCACTAGGGGAAAAGGACGGCTGTCCCCTAATATCTTATTCTGACAGGAAGGGGAAGAACTGATGCTGACAGCATCTTGCCTTCCAAGAAAATCAGCAGTGGCAAAAAAAGGAAAAAAACAGAAGTCAGAGGAGAGAGGCTGCAGATGTTGGCAAGAGGCTCATGTTTCTTTTGCCCTTTATCAAAGGACCTCAATTGTCCATCAAAAGCGTCCGGCCATCGCCAGACCGTGGTGCAAGTCACCAGGAATGTCACTGCTCCTCACAGAGCCCCCCACGCCCCGGGCAGCAGCAGGAGGCAAAGGCAGGATCCAGCCTGGCCCCGCTGCCGCGTCCGAGGGACGTGAACGCAAACAGCCTTGCTGGAAAAAGCGGCTGACTTTGGGTTGATCTTGGCAATGGCACCAGCTACCAAACTGGGTTTTCCTTCCAACGGCAGGGCTGTTTGTGCGCCGAGATGCTTCTGGAAAGCCGCACGCTTTCCAAAAACACACATAGCAACTTCTCAGTGCCTTTTTTTTTTTCCTTGTAGGTCTTTGCCCACCAAAATTGCACCAAGTCAGGTCCAAACCTGAAGGCAGCTCAGCCTCAGCACTCAACGGCAATGCAGATGCCACCAGCTCTGCGCACGCCAGTTCCCTGGGAGAGCGAGAAATGCTGCAATAATCCAAAATAACACAGCCAAAAAGCAGCTTTTTTTTTTGTTCGCAGGCTGGTGGAGCGGCGGCTCCAGCTGCCTCAGCAGCGAGGGGGGAGGCTGGTTCTGCTGCCGGCGGGGGCGCGGAGCTGAGCCCGTCTGCTGCGGAAGCGGCTGGGAAGCTGCGAAATCACCCCCGAGTGCGTGATAAGGCACAACGGGGCAGATACAGAAGACATCTCCCAAAAAAAGTCACTTCCTTGCGGGTCCTGCCTCCCCTAAACCACCCCAGAGATGCCTGGGGAGGGACAGCAGCTCACTGCAGGGAGCAGCATCATGGATGTCCCCTCCCCACCACGACACCCTCGTTGCATCCAGCTCGGCTCGCATGTCTGCTGGGCTGATGCAACCCAAAAAAGCCCTAAAGCCCCTTAGGTTGGGCAGCAGCATGAAAATCCATCGCCTAGCGCAGCGGCAGGGTCTGATGGGATGAAGTACCAGACTGTGAAACCCCAGGCTGCACTGAACAGACACTTTGTGGTCCTGACACAGCTGGGTTCGAGAAGGCGAGAACAGTCCTCAGCCAGAATAGGAAAGCGATAACGAACATCTACCATCGACATCTGGGAACACACCAAAGGTGATGAGCACCACAGAAAAAGATTAAGGAACATTATCCTGGCTCCTGGCCAGAGCCTGGGTTTTTGGAGCTTTTATGCAGTTTTCTCAAGCAAGCGTTTTGCTTTTGAAGGTAACCTTCAAAAACACCTTAGTGAGAGCTTTTGCAAACACAAAGGAACGAATGAGGGTGGATGAACCCTGGAGCTGCCCCACGCTGGGATGCTCAGCCACGGTCCGAGGATTGTACTGAGGTTGGGGTAACACCACCAGCAAGGGGACCCAAGGGCAGAGACCTCGCAGGGATGGGGCACTGCTCCAAGCTCCGTTGCCCGTCTCTCCCTGACTTTCTATAGTCACCTTGTTCTGCCTCAGTTTCCGCATCCGCAGGGGGTTCATCCACCCCGCAGGGTCTCCGAGCCCTGCTCATCTCTGCCTGTTTCCCATTTCTAAAACCTGGAGGTTTCCCTTCCTTCCCCACAAAGCACCAGGCAGCAGCTCAAAGCGCGTGGCTATCACTGATAAAAACCACCACCTTTGCCCGTGAAACTGTTGACAGGCTTTAATTAATTAACAGCCCGATGACGTTTTGAGATCCCGGAATAGAGGTACTATTAAAGTGCACAGCACTGCCACAAGTCACTCCTTCAAGGAAAAAAAAAAAATACAAAAAAAAGGCACCGTTCCCTTTACCAGCAGCATTTTAACCTTTACTGTTCAGTGCTTCGAGGCAGGTGGAGTGAGGAACAGGTTCACATTTTGCTCCAGCAAGGGACACGCTGCTGTACAGGAAAGACAGATTTAATTTGCAATTTCATTTATCTACAACCCTGAATTGATTTAATTATTAAAGTCATAAGTTACTAATACACCAGAGAACAGTTATTCCTATTTTTTTACTGCACTGGACACACGCCACGGCTGCAGCAGCACCAGCACAAGGCAGCTCTGCAGGACCCCTGTAAGCCCCAGCAACGTCCCAGCCTGAGCCAGGACTGGTGTGACACCACGTCCCTTCACTTCCCATCCCCTCCTAGTACTTAAGGAGGGCTCATTCTGGTGTAAAAAATAATTTCCCAAATTATTTTTTCACATCCCTTCAGACTTGCAGTGCTTTAAGTCCCTGTATATATTTTAAGCATGATTCCTGCTCCCATCCAAGCCACTTAATGAATGAATAATTTAAAAACAGGTGAAA